GTTGTTGTTGTGGTTTTGCTGTTCTATGTTTTGTTGTATTTCTTTGCGCTAGGTATCTGTTTATTTAAAGTGGAGAAATTTGCATTGCTTGGTTGGACAAATTTATTCATATGGATTTGTTAGATTATTTTGTTTTGAATATCCCTTGGAAGCTTAGGTTTAATTACTAGTTTTTAAGGTAATCCTTGGTCTTCTTGTATGCATGAGAGGCTATGGTATTATATTTCTGTTCTCGGTTCACTACTGTGTCATGAATGCACAATCATGATGAGACCCTATTGTAAAAATACTCCAGAGCTGTCACGTAGATATTGACAAGTTCTTTGTGGTGCAGATTGGAATGTGCCCAAGAAAGTTTAGTTCGGACTGTTCTTCATTAGGAGGGGTTATAAGGGAAGCGTTGGGTGTTTTTTGAGTTTGTGGTGCTTCTAGTGAGATGTTTCCATGAGTTTCTTTCTTTCTTTTCAGAAGTCCCCAAAATTTACTCTCGAGTCTAGAGACATACACCTCATTTGTTTGAAGGAAATGCATTACCTGAATCATTTATCAATCCAGTCTAGTGCTCAGACCTCTTATTATCCGTCAGTTTAGACATTATCTTGATTGACATCACATTTCTTAGTTGAAAATTTTGCCCATTTATTGCCACAAGTGATGGAGTGGCGGGTATGAAGAATGGTGGCTATAGTTTTGGAGTTTTTTGCCTGCAACGGAATGGAATTTGTTGAAATCAAAGACGGCAATGGAATTTATTGAGGATAAATGTCCTACTTTACGAGTCTCTTAAAACTCTTATAGTATGAGGGAAGCGCCTAACTAACCGAAAACTTTTTAGAACACTGTTAAAAAATTCATAAGATGGAAGTTGTATTCATCAATTATTAACTAGGTCTAAAGGAAGATTCAAGGGCTCTTTATTGGAACAACATGACCTAGTCAATTACATAATATACATTACAAATTGAACAGTTTACAGTAAGTCTGAAACACAATAAAATGCATAAATTCCCATTAAAAATTGCATTGTGATATAGTTTGAGGCTAATGTTCTCTTAACTAACTTGATATTTGGGCAGTAATGTGAGCAACAATGAAGGAATCAATGAACTCCATTTTTCCTATTGTGACATAGAATAGTCTTTTGTTAAAATTGAAGGAATCAGTGATCACTTACCACTGGATGACTAAATGGTAATCTCGTAATTTCTATTTGATTAGGGGTCTGCAATCGGTTAATTTGGATGGATCGGTTCAGAAGTTTGCTAAAAATAATGAAATTGAAATCCAAAACCAAAAAACTACAATTTTTTTGCTAAAACCAAATAAAATTGAAATATAAATTAGTTTAATCGGTCAATTTGGCGGCAAATTACTCGATCAGAGGACTCAATCAAAATAAATGTTTGACCTAAAATAATTAAAGCTTAAGATTCTATTTCAAAATTAAAAATTTCATTTATCTTTCTTATCTCCTCACATTCTCTTTAAAATTAAAAATTTCAACCTAACATAAAATAAACATATCATATACTCAATTATTTTGTATTCAAATGAATTTATTTTCCTAATTTTGATATTATTCAGTTTTTAGTTTCTTTGGTTTAATGAATATTAAAGTTGAACCTAAAACGAAAAATTGAATATTTAAAATGAAAAAAACAATGAATCTGTTATTTTAAAACCAAACCGAATAAACCAAATGAGCTCAGTTCTGTTCGGTTTTGAACAAACACCCTTATATTCAACCAATCTTGTGCTAGATAGGAACTCGTTACAAAATAAGCTTAGACAATGTTACAATAGAAGTTGATAATTCTCCAATCTTGTGCTAGATAGGACCAAACACCCTATGGGAAGATTTATGTACATAGAACTCGTTTCTTTTGTAATTACATATCTAACATCTAAACTTCAATTTTTGCATATATGTCGCATTGCCTATGCATGAAAAGATGTATTTTACTTTTTAAAAGTTAAAATAGAGGTATATTTAATGTGATATGAGAGATTTGGGTGATATTAATATAAAAAAGGGAAAATTACATTCATAGCACCAAATTCTTATGGATTTATCTATTTCACACATATACTTTCATTTTTACATAGATAGCACTTTATCTATGGATGAAAAGATGGATTTGACTATTAAAAGGTGATAATGAGTGCTAATTTTCATATGATGTTTGTAAATTTTCATATGATGTTTGTAATTATGAAAGTTTTGGTGTGAGATAGGTAAATACGAAAGTTTTGGGTGCTATGTATGTAAAAGTTCCATATAAAAATCTGAGCTTAGGTGTTAGATATGTAAATACGCAGAAATTGTGGCATGTAAATGCCTCAAAAAGATTTTAAATAATCATCATTTAGAATGAACATATATGTTAGATGTAAATTAGAGTATACCAGCATGACTTTGTATTGATTTTACTAGTACCAAAGATTGGTAGTTACTTTTTTGTAGGTGGGTGAAATAAGGAATCCCAAAAACCGTATCCTAAAATATACTCTATAGTTACACCCCTTTGTAACCTCAAGCACTGTGATGAGCAGTTTTCATCTTTTGAATGTTCATTTTGTATGCTAAAGTAATTTACATAGTCAGCATGCATTTTATCTGCTTGGTTAATAAGGAATACAACACGATATGATCTGTGCTTATGAATAAAATGAATTTAAAATATGCTTAAAGTATAGAATTTGCATTTGTAAAACCATGAATTGGTTCAAGTTTCAAGAATCAAATACAAAATAAGTAGTTGGACGAAGGTCATATATAGAAGTGACTTTCTTGGGCAATCCCTTTGAATCACTTGCACCTACTGTAGGTATAAACTGCAAACAAATTCAAAATCAAATTTAGACTTGGGTGTGGGCTCTGAAATTCGAGATATCTCGGCCTCCCTTGAAAAAGAAATGAAAATGAATAGGTTGAGGGGAGTTTATCGTTTAGTTAAATATCATTAAAATTAGTAATCATCGACTCCAGCTCTCTTGAGGAAGAAGGTCGGACTAACATGTGAGGAGCTTAATCTTAATAATAGGTCGGACACCAGTTCTCTTGTCAAATCTAGTCATAATAAGGAGGATTAGACTAACACAGTGGGAACTCAATCTTGCCAACTCTGGTACTTGTAGTGAGGAGGATTGGATTGGTCCAAGTGGAATTGGAGGCGGAGGTAATGTTGAACAAATGAAATCCAAAAGAAAACCCAGCTTTATTTCAAGACATGCTATTTTTTTAGCACATGGAAAACTGAGTAAAGCATCCTGAAATTCTCAAAACTCTTCCAACAGAGAGAGCAAATAATAGGTTGTGCAGACAGTTTTGTGCTTCTCGTGAATTCCTTTCCATCTGCAGTGCAGGTTCCTGGTTTCTTAACCATTAAACTACTGTTTGTGACTTTCTTATTAAGGGCTAAATTAGAAATGAAGTGTGCAGGTAACAGGATAGGAGCGTCTGGGAGAGGAGGGAAGTTTACGTGTAGGAATTCTGCTTGTCCTGAGGAGGATGGGTGAACAATGCTGCCTATCGCATGATTTAGGGAAGGGAGGTGAGGTCGCCGGGGAGTGGTGCAAGTGGTAGGAGGTGGCTGGGTTGCAAGGAGAAGGAGAAGTGGGATGAAGGAGGTGTTCGGCTGCTGGTTTTTGCGGAGAAGAAGGAGAGAGCTGGTTGATTGAGATCTGTAGAGAGGAAGATGGAAGCTGGGTGAAGCTGCAGGAAGAAGCACGGACGGGGCCACTCTTTCGTGCAGTGAGGGGGCTGCTGCGAGCGGGACAAATGGCAGAGGGTGCTGCAGCTTAGGTGGGAGTGCTGGAGGCTGCAGTTTTAGCGTGAGGAAAGAGGGAAGTGGAGCATGGGGAAAAGCGGGTTGCTGGCGTGCAGGACTGAATGGCGATATGGAGGAGGAAGGAGCTGCGGGCTGCCGCGTATGCGACTGAGCTGAAGATGAAAGGCTCATGCAGGCTAGAGAGGAGAGGGAGAGTGAGGGGGTTGGAGCTCTACCTAGGCGATGTCCGGGAGAAGAGCCATGCGAAGAGGAGCTCTCTGTTGGGAACAACAATAGAGGAGCTGGAGTGGAGAGAGGTTCGAAGGGATGATACTACTTGATACGTGATAGAAAGGGATGTATTTTTTTTTATTTTTTTTAAATATAAAATAAAAAGAGAAAGCCATGTTTCATCATTTTATTGGTCAAGGTGGGTGGCAGAGGCACAGGGAAGCATGGGATGCGCGATGGCTTGCATGGAAAGTAATTGGGTTTTTAATTAAATTTTTATTAGTTTTTTAGCATCTCGATTTGTGTGTGGTTGACTAATATGCAAAATCCTATTAATATGAATGTCTTTCTTAGAAAATTTAACATTCCGGATGCACTCAAGCAATTCATTTTACAATCAAACATTGTTTGGGCAATTTTATTGTTGTTAGAGCACCTTATCTTCAATATAAGTGATGGTGGCTCTTTTCAATCATGTAAGACCCTTCTTAAGCAATTTTGGTGTGTTGCACAACAACAACAACAACAAGCTTTTCTCCTATTAAGTGGGTTCAGCTACATGAATCCTTTTTCTCCATTGTGTCTTATTCAGTGTCTTACTTTCATTTAATTATTATGATCATTTTTTATAATTTTTTATACAATATGTCCAAGTCTTTTTAGGTCTTTCTCTATTTTTCTTAACATAAGTTGAATTTAAGATATCTACTCTCCTAACTGGATCATTAGATGGTCGACATTTAATTGTACCAAACCATCTAAGACCACTCTCTCTAATCTTGTGCACCATTGGAGCTACACCAACTCTATCACGGATATATTCATTTTGTATTTTTTCTCTTAAGTGTCAAGCCACCCATCCACCTAAGCATTCTCATTTCAACAACACTTAACTTTAGTTTTTGCCTCTCTTTTAAAGGCCAACATTTGGCTCCATAGAGCATTGCAGGTCTCACCACCATCCTATAAATTTGATCTTACAGTTTAAAGGGTACTTTTCTATCACACAATAGGCCCGATGTATCCTCCACTTCAACCAACCAACTTGCATTCTTATAATAATAACATCCTCATCTATATCACCATCACTTTGAATAACAGACCCGAAATATCTAAAACGTTCACACCTTTTAATGATTAGATCAATCATAGTTACAACTCTACCACTAGAGCTACTATTGCTAAAACTACAATCCATGTATTCAATTTTCGCTCTACTCAAACGAAGGCCTTTAGATCTTAAGTGTTCTGCAAGTGCTCGTATTTTTCTTTTCATGATTCATTTGAGCTGTTCTGCGGTGATCGAAGCAATTTTATGTTTTAAAATGCACGACGTCGCATCTCACATCCAATAGTCTTGCCACATTCAATCAATCATTTTTTGTTGAGTATATGTGAGGGTTAACATTGGGTTAAGCTTCATATTTTAGATTCATGCTCAATTTCAATGTAGATTGATTGTTTGATTTATATTCATTCTCAGATTTGGGTTCAGATTTTTTGCTTGTAGGTCTGTGATGAATATGATTTATAGGTGTATGAATTAAATAATTAAAAACAACAAAAAAGGGATGGTTTCCATATTTTGTATTATGTGGAATTGTAGGTACATGATGAATATGGCCTCTAAATGGATTAAATAAATGCCCCCTTTACATACTATATAACTAAGTGGAATTGAGATCATAATGTTGAAAGCTCTCACATAATTGCATCAAGCTGCTTCGTGCTATACTTTTTGCAATTGTTTTATTAGGTCAGACAACTGATGAGCATCATATTTGGTTTTTTTTTTTAAGCTATACTACTTCATTTTATTGTAGCTATTAATGTTGTTTTCAGCACATTCTTACTCTCAACTCTTCCAAAATTGTTTAATTGAATCTAACTTATATTAATGTAGATCAGACTACATTGTTGGTTAACCTAATCTTCTGTGCCCTCCATCCAAGATTGGAATTCAAGCTTTCGTCAAATCTGAAATGTTAACTTTAAGACTCAAATGATGACCATGATATGGGTTTTCCTTAAGCTATACTACTTCGTTTTATTGTAGCTATTAATGCTGTTTTCATCACATTCTTACTCTGAACTCTTCCAAAATTGTTTAATTGAATCTAACTTATATCAATGTAGATCAGTCCTACATTGTTGATCAACCTAGTCTTCTTTGCTAACCATCCAAAATTTGAATTCTCCCTTTCGTCAAATGTGAAATGTTAACTTTAATTTTTTTTCTGAGAACAGCTGTTAGAAGTAGCTATAAGAATGATGATATGATTTATAATCACTTGATATGCTTGAAAAACACAATCTTCTGAAGCCCTTGTAGGGGGGGGGGGGGGGCTCCCGCGAAAGAAACCTTGTCAAGGATGGTAAAAAATATATAGTTGCAAATTTCCATTCATTAACCATTGGCTAGGTCTAAAAGAAGCTACTAGAGCTATTTATACGAATGTTGTTACGTGGACTGTTAAAATCTAATTTATTACATATAAAATGCCAGATCAGACGCATTCACCAGCAAACAAATAATTTCATCTTTGTGCGAGTTAAAAATTTGACTGGCTTCATTAATCTTTTGTATTCTTGATTGATGAATTGCATTTAAGGTGGTCCTGTTCTTCAAGACTCAAAATTTTGTGGACTTTTTTTTGTGAGAGCAGGACTTCAGGATTTTTTTTTTAATATCTTTAAATTGCCCAGTTGTCTTTATATGCATTCATTTCTGGTTGTATGACAGGTGGTCGAGGTGTCGACTTCCAAGACTGGGAAGCATGGACATGCAAAATGTCACTTTGTTGCAATTGATATTTTCACTTCTAAGAAGCTTGAGGACATTGTGCCTTCTTCTCATAACTGTGATGTATGCAATAATTATTTTTTACTGATTTAAAGATATTCACCCCTGGCTATAAACATGAAAGCTAACTAATAGTTTATGAAATGCAGGTTCCGCATGTTAATCGTACTGATTATCAGTTGATTGATATAGCTGAAGATGGATTTGTATGTTTCTCTTATAATATTCTGTGTGTTTGTTAGTCATCTATTCCTCTATCTTTCCCCATGTTCTATATTTATTTGAATTCATTTATGATCCGGCAGGTTAGTCTTCTGACTGAAAGTGGAAACACCAAGGACGATCTGAAGCTCCCTACTGATGAGACTCTGCTGAAGGTTATTTGATCCTTTAATTTAGTTTTACTGCTCCTATGGATCTATTGCTTGGTGACAAATTTCATCATACGAAGTTAGAGTACTTCAAATCTAAATTGTACAAAAATTATTTGGAGTTAGTTGCATTTTCTTGACAGTTGGAATGCTTGATTGCTTTAAAAAAATATTCAAAATCAGGACAGATATCATGAAATTTAGTTCTTTATTAGAAGAATAGCGGGTCATAATGGCAATTTTAGAAATAATAGACCTTTTTGTTCCATCATGCCATCTTCATTAGACCCATCTTTCGTTATTGTTTATTACTTTGAGGCCACTGACAAGTGGCTACGGTTTGATAACAGCTCAAAGCAATTGAATAGGTTAAAAATTTTTCTTTTATTAAATTTGTTTTAACCTTCAAGATGATTAAATTTTGTAAGAAGTTCATACTAAATATATTTTATATATGTGGAATAGGCTTGAAATTTTTCTTTGATGAAGTTCCTAAGCTCGAGAAACTTGGAGTGGAGAGCAGTAATATCTATAAATGAAGATTATTTGCTATTGGTTATAAATATAATAGAAAAATAAAAGAATTCGTGTAAAATGTGATATGACCTGGAGTTACATAGAATAAACTTTAATTAAATAAGGAAATAAAAACTGTATCTACAAGAGTTGGCGTGGATAATCTTTTCATGCATTTATATATAATTTTTTTATAATACATTAATAAAATCAAATTTATGCATCTTGTTCTGTACCACTGGTAGAATTCAAAGATAAGGATTTAATGTTGGCGGATTATGATTAATGGTTTTGTTATGGCCCTAAATTAGTGGAATCAAATGTCACAATGGTGTTGAATTCAGCCTGTTTGATCAGTTATAGATGCAGTATGCCTCGAGCTTCATCCTACTGCGATTCGGGTATGACTGTGTTCGAGATGGAAGCTAAGACCCCAAGATATGACTCTTCGATGCTTTTCGCGATTGACGGCTAACCTTCATTACTTTCTCAGCTTTTCTTTCTCATGGAGGCGGAATGTCAAATTATGATTAAGAATGCAAACTTTAACATATCATATTATTATTTCATTTTTCTTTCCCTTTTTTTCCCTTAAAATTGAACAAAAATAAGAACCAAATAACCTTTTAATGGAAACCAATAATTGAACATTGACTTCATTAATCGAATCAAACCAATCAAATGTGATCGGTACCAGTTAAGTTTTTTCCTTTCAAGCCAACTAATCCACACCTATATGCAACTTTAGAACTTATATGTATTGGGGTATTTACATATCTTAACACCTAAACTTTCATATTTACAGGACACTCAAATATTCAATATCACTTTAGATGTAACATTGTTACCACTATTTAAAAGTGAAATACAACTTTTCAAGCATAAGTTTAAAGCATCAAAATATTATGTGAATATGAAAGTTGAGCTGTGAGATATGTAAATACACATCAAAATATTTTCCATATATTTTTATAGCGGATGAGATATTCATTTCTCTGGTGAACGAAGTAATGGCTGATCTCATTATCGTTACTCATCTTTTTAGCCTATTATGTATCATGGATGCAGATCAAAGAAGGGTTTGCGGAGGGGAAGGATCTGGTGGTCACCGTGATGTCTGCAATGGGCGAAGAACAGATGTGCGCTCTGAAGGATATCGGCCCAAAGTAGTTTCCAATTTCCATCACTCACACCAATGTTATATTATAAGTATAATATTACTGATTTTTATGCTCCTTTATCTAATGTTTTTGTATAATTCAAAACTATGGGAATATCCGGGGGCCAATATCCACCGCAGAACTCTCCTCTCTTTTGGCTCGGTGTGTTAGTCTCTTGTCGTCCCGGCTACATGTCAGTGTACTTCTTGCTTCTGTTCTCAATGAAGCTTACGCTGTGTTCTGGATTTTGTATTTACTGCTGAGGTATTTGTTCTCTATTTTGACTTGCTGAAATATTATTCCTTGGCTTTTATGAAATTTTTTGGGGGCATTTACGTACAAACAATCCAATTTCTTATGCATTTGCATATCTAATTCTTAATTTTAATTTTTTATATTTATACCATCCAGATCTTCCATTTCAAATAAAAATGTCACTATTTTAACTTTTTTTTTAAAAAATGGTTTTATGCATTAGTTAAGATGGCTATAGGGTGAAAGGATGCGTGTAAAAATTGATGTTGAGGTGCTGGATATGTACTTGTATAGGAATTGAGCGGTAAGAATATCATGATTTTGACTTTTAAATAGTGAAATGCACATTTTCCTGTGTGCATAAAAATTGAGTGGTATTTATGTAAATACTCTTTAATTTGAATGTGAGATCTAGATTTGAAATCGTTTGTCAATATTGCTAATTTTCTTCGAAGTTATTAGTTGAGCTTTAAAGAAGGAGATTAAGAAGAGTCTCGGGACATATTGAGTGAAAACTGATGAGAGGAATTCGTGTGCTAAGAGCTTGATATTTTGCGAGGACGGGAAGAGCATATAACAACTTTAAGAAAAAAGTAAAATGATTTAACATATTTTGGTTGCGACTCGTATTCACTATAAAGTGAAAGAAAAAATAAATTCACTATTTAAGAAAGAATAAAATTTATAAAGAGAAATCAATTAAAAATGATGCTAGAAATTTTGACTAGAAAATCCGGAAAGTGAAAAATTACAGGATATGACTGAATTGAAGAGTTTCATTATAAAAAAATATTTGCAGTTGAATCACTTCTCACATGCAAGAAAAGGTTACTAGATTTCTCAACTTATAACTTCGACGCAAAGATGAATTTGTTGCCAGGAAAGATGGCGAATAATAGTGATTTGTTGTGTCTGATCAGTGGTGGTCGAATTTAGTTAGCGATGATGGCGGTTGGTAGTAATCAATAACAGTCAGTGGTGCCCGATATAGATTGACAGTGATTGATGACGATTAGCAGTGGTCGACGAAGGTTGATGGAGCTCGACTTCAACTAATTCTCAAAGTTTCAAGTTATTCCTAAGATCACAAACTCTCATCCCACTTCTCATGAGAGAGATGTGGCTCTATTTGTAGAGTTTTTGGTGTAATTAATGTTGGAATATAAATCAATTTGATAGGACAGTCTGAAAAGATTCTCTTGATCAAAAGATATTTTATGGACATTTGAGCGTCTCAATTATGCCAGAATTGAGTGATTTTGGACTTAATGGATTTATCTTGTCGAGACGCTCGATTCAACAATATGCTTACCATGTACGTCATTTGTTTGACTTTTCAAATATATTTGAAAAGCTTCCAAGGGTGGTTTAATGGATTGACCTGAGTTTGGTTTGATTTAGATTTGACCAATTATGGACCCATTGAGTCTATGTCGTCGAGCCGGTCAGTTGACTGCAAATTTACTGAAATCAGCGCTTTGGATGTGTTCTAATTGAAGTTTGAATGTTCCATGATCAAAATGTTTTTTCGATATTTATGCTATGCCTCGAGAACCGTGTTGCATAATAAGTCACTCAGTTAATAATGAGTCATATGAGAGCTAGACAGTAACTGATCAAGATTATTTGTCTATAATTTTAGTTGGCCAACAAAGTGCAATCGTCAATGATATTAAGAGGACTCTCGCTGAAAATATTTACCTACAGAATCTGATTCATCGATACATTTTTTATCCGCTTCCAACTTATCAAGCTTACATGGTCTCTTGCAATTAGTAGCAACAAAAATTAATTATCTTATTATATATACTCACATCAAAGCTAGAGAGTCTGATTCATCGATACATTTTTTAACCGCTTCCAACTTATCAAGCTTACTTGGTCTCTTGCAATTAGTAGCAACAAAATTAATTATCTTATTATATATACTCACATCAAAATTTATATTGTTAACACTGATCTTTACCTATGAATAGAGGGCTAATTAGAGATCAAACAAGAGCTTGGCAAAATCATAAGATCTAAGAAAAGTACTCTCTTTCCATATGTTGTGTCGCTCTATCTCTATTCAAATTGCAAATCTCCATTCAAAAGGATTCGTCCAATTTCTCGTTCAATAATTTTATAGAATGCTTCATAAAATCATGCTCCTCAAACCATTTTTTTGAATATTTAAACTATTCTCCATAAATAATTTCTTAT